ACACACACACACACACACATATATATATATATATAGTAATATAATATATGTATATAAGAAGTATATTTATGTGCTGAAATGCATCTAGATCACCTTTTTAAGTAAAAAAAAAAAAAAGATTCCGTCAAAAAAGTAAAAGCATGTATAACATCCGGGCTTTTTTGTACTTGGGTCGAAAAATATTTGTGAAGATACAGAAGACTCAAGACGGCATAAATGAACATGTACGTATGTTTATATCTAAATATACTCATTAAAATATCTGCACAAAGCGTATATGTTGTTGACCTCCGATACTTAATTCAATATGCTTACTAAAGGTGACAAATAATCATTCCATGACTAATTCAATGTTTTATAAAATCATTCCATAAGTTATCGTTTTATAAAATTAGGAATGCAAATTCAATGATTGTCAAAGTAGTTTGATGTCAAAAAAAATTAAATTGATTTATCAAATATTAAATTATTTATGTTTAATTTCATGATTTTATCACTCCCCAACAATTGCATTTCATCATGTTTTTGTAAAGTATCGAATAAAACGAGACACAGAATGTACAAATCCTTTCAATAAATATTTCATATCATATCATACCCCTAGATTTATAGAGTTTGAATAAATTATACTTTATCCCCTAAAACTATAACCCTGATTTNCTTTCAATAAATATTTCATATCATATCATACCCCTAGATTTATAGAGTTTGAATAAATTATACTTTATCCCCTAAAACTATAACCCTGATTTCAATTCACAGACTGATTATCGATATTATAACACAACACCATTAATCATTTTACTCTATGATAATTTGTACAAACTGTTCTATTTAGTTCTGCACAAGTCATTAAGTTTTGGGTAAACAAAATTCACTTGACTATTTTGAATGATTAACGGTTGAATGTGTTCAAACCAATAGTCTAAGAGCAAGGATTTTGAATATCATAATTGAAATGTATAAAGTATTCTTAAAAAATTAANTGACTATTTTGAATGATTAACGGTTGAATGTGTTCAAACCAATAGTCTAAGAGCAAAGATTTTGAATATCATAATTGAAATGTATAAAGTATTCTTAAAAAATTTAGAAGGTCATGATAAATAAAATCAAAAATCATGTTAGAGGAACAAGTGTAATTTTGAAAATTTGAGGGGGCTATGCCCTTTTGGCAGCAACATAACTCCCCTCGAATAAGGGCATAAGAGTTTCAAAACTCAAAGCAATGAATTGGACCGATCATCGAACTAGCAAGGAGATTGGGTCAATGGTTTACTGGTTCAACCGTTGGGTCAATTAGTCGGNTGAAAATTTGAGGGGGCTATGCCCTTTTGGCAGCAACATAACTCCCCTCGAATAAGGGCATAAGAGTTTCAAAACTCAAAGCAATGAATTGGACCGATCATCGAACTAGCAAGGAGACTGGGTTAATGGTTCACTGGTTCAACCGTTGGGTCAATTAGTCAGACCGATCATATAATAAAAAAATAAAAATATATATATAATAATTATAAAACTTAATAATTTAGCTAAAAAATATATAATATGTATAAAATACATAAAATTTGTCATAAAATTAAGTAACAAAGTGGGGGTTATTGTATTTTAAAGCAAAGTAAAGAGGTTCAAGTAAATTATAAAGAAAAATAATGGGTGTCATATATAATTTATCCAAGAATAAGGTTAAAAAAAATCAGCTAATTACTGATTTAGGGCAAAAAAATTTATTTATGTAATTTAATTTTTAAATAGACATTAAACCGTCTGGTTTTTATAAAACCGGCGGTTCACGGTTTTTGTTAAAAACCGGCTGGTTTTTCGATTTTTAGTCGATTCGCTTCTTTAAGCGGTTCAACTAAGGAACCGGACCAGTTAGGATCACGGTTCATGGTTGAACCGGTCCGGTCCAATTCTGATAACACTAACTCAAATCTTGACAATTTTTTAGAGCTATGCTATGAGAGATTTATACCTGCGTGGATAACTTACTTTTAATTGGATCAAAAAATAAATTAATTAAGGTGTCTGTAAATTGGTCAAGACATCCCTAACCATTTAAAAAAATAAAAATAAAGAGTTTCAAACCTCCTCGTCAATACTTAGAAATGGGAAGGGTAGATATTAATGTCAGGACCATTCCAGTAATAAAAGATATGATTAATCATATTTTTCTAATATACCAACAATTGAGTCGTCCTGCCCCATCAACACCCTTCAAAAGTTTGATATAATTTGGTGGGTAGGAGACAAAGCCTATCTGTGTGTGTGTTTAGGGAGGTTCTATAGTATCGAGGAAAAAAAAAAAATTGGTACTATGCGGTCGATTATAATTATTTATGGTAAAATTATATATTTAAAAAAATAAATAATAATTGTTTAAGAAAAGGTTATGATCGATTATATATTCCATGATCGATCATGAATTTTCCTTGAGCAGTTGTATCTTATCCCTTATGAATTGCAAATTACTCTATGAAAATTGTTTCATAACATTTGAAAGTTATAATTTTGGTATCGATCGCAACCTCTCGTAATTAATCATGTCTTTTAAAAATTATAATTTACACCTAAAAAGAATTATAATACTTGATAGTACTAAAACCTTGTGTGTGTGTTTATATATACATATGNTCTCGTAATTAATCATGTCTTTTAAAAATTATAATTTACACCTAAAAAGAATTATAATACTTGATAGTACTAAAACCTTGTGTGTGTGTTTATATATACATATGAGAGAGAGAGAGAGTTTTATTTTCTTTTAGCAGGGACTAGGAAGGGAGCTTCGAAGCTTCAAATTTGAAGTGCAGAACAGAAAGTTGGTCGCTATAATACGTACTAAACAGCTGTGTTTAGGAGCCAAATGCGTCCGTGGTTTAACTAATGGGGGGAATGTTAATCCTACTCTCACTCGAGGAAAGTGCAATTGCTAGACCAAAGAATCATCATAACCAACTCACAAAAAGGGATCTAATTTTACATATCATTCACCATACTATACGAAATTAACGGATTTGAATTAAGTTTTAAGGAATTTAAATAATAAACAGATAAATCCGTTAAAATCATTAAATAAATGAGTTAACAAAATCTCACATAACAAGATAAAAATTGATTGAACATAACTTATACACGACACAAACATAAATATATTCAAAAATAAATTAATCAAATATAGATTAAATTAATTTTAATATGACATAATTTACGCACGAACTTAAGATGACATGACCATTGACAATTTACCTCGTACCAATGCTTTAATATGCATGGTTTATACATGATTTTACGTATCTTAACTTACATTATTACATTTAGCCTACAAAATAGACCTGTAAAGTTTAGACACAGATCCGCATTATCTTACATAAAATAATAAGATTGGATTGACTTTTAATAAGTTCAAATGATAAATAGGTTTATCTATTAAATTCGTCAGATAAATAAGTTGACATGAATCCGACTAAACACGACACATACCCACTAACCACATTTGATATACAATACGAATATAAATATGTTAAATATGGGTTGAGAGATAAGGCTGGTTATAGCCAAAATCTGATTCGACTTTCTAATTTTCATTTGAATTATTTGCACCTGAGTAATAAAAAATAAAATATTTTTATATGTTGAGTTCAATAAATGTTTTTAATGTAAAAAGACTTGGATATTAGACCTTACACGACCTATTATTTATACGGATTCATATCCACTCTGATACACTTTTTTTTTTTTCAGTTTCTTTCTTGGTGAATAATTCATTACTAATGGGTGAGAAGTTCACTCGTATACAATGAATTCTACTCAAACATATTGCGTGATCTATTTTTAAAAAAAAATGTGTATATTAGAAGGAATATCAACGCTACTAAAAAGTTTTACCAAAACAAAAAAAACCCACTAAAAAGTATATGACAACAGCACGCGCTTCAACAGAAGCGCGTTGTTGATTGGCTCAGTCAATTTCGTAGATGCGCCTGTGGCCCAATAAAAAGCCCAAAAACAGCTCATAAACCGACAACCCCGACAATTAGAGAGAGAGAGAGAGAGAGGCCAGCTGTTTTCTGCTTTCAGGTGCACCGCCAAGTTTTTGTGAATACTAATGGGTATCTGACACGTGTTATACCACACGCCTCAAACGTGTCAGGTAGTCTCTCTCTCTCTCTCTCTCTTTCTCTCTATTATTGGTGGCTTTATTTTATGCCCAAGCAATTTGGCGCCACACTTTTGAACAATGATCATTCAACAACTACCTTTCTATGTGCTGCGTTTGGTCCAAAGTTTACAGTTTCCCACATCACATATATATATATTCGTAACAAGGAAGAAATACTTATTTACTGGTAATGGACGGTCGGTCGGTCGTGCGATACATGAAATTTATGTTTTTATTCTTCTCAATGATCTCCATATTGCTCTAACCCGCTTCTTAATTTGTTTGTTTAGTAATGTTAGAGAGAAAGAAACGACAAAAGGTTAAACAAGCAGAGTGAGAGTAAAAAGTTGAAGGAGCGGAAAGCTAGTGAGAGCAAAAAGTAATTATAGGCCTAATATGAATGAATGAATATGATTGGAGAAAAGCTTGTTCATATTCTTGCTCCCTAAATACTTTCTTTTATATGTTGAAAAGAAAATTATGTGGAAAACCATGTTGAATTTAGGCTTATAAAGAGAAGGTCGAGGCCAAGAAAACATGGTTTCCTTAATAGCCATTCTTTAGTGTTTGATTGGAGGGGGCCACCACCTTTGAAGGAAAAGGCCTATATAACAAATTGCTTTAGAAAGAGATCTCAGAGGAAGTAAAAGAAAGTTTAGGAAAGCAGCTTTAGAAGCCTTTTCCTCCTTTACTTTGTCTGTTGGGAGGCAAAGGAAAGAATCAATTTCTAGGAGGGAAGTTTCCTACAAATTCTTGGAGTGCCCATTTCAAACATTTTTGGGTATAAATTCACTTCAACATTTTCTGCATAACAACTGGTTTTTGTTGTTCATTCACCCACTCTCTCTCTCTCTCTCTCTCTCTCTCTCAGAGACCTTACATACATTGGAGCTTTTACTTTCATGTTCTAAAAAGTTATTTTCTTGGACTCATTTGCTCAAAGAAATACAGAGAATGGGGGTTGGAGGAACTTTGGAGTTCATCTCTGACTTGATGAGCAGTGGACATAAACAAAAGAAGAAGAAGCAGTTGCAGACTGTGGACCTCAAAATCAGGATGGACTGTGATGGGTGTGAGCTTAAAGTCAAGAAAGCTTTGTCCTCATTAAGTGGTACACACAAATTTTCTCCCAATTATTTCTTACTTTGTGACATTATTTTTTCTTTTTCTTTTTTTGAACTGGGTTGTGTCACATAGTTAGGGCCCTTATTCCTTAACACCATCTGTCAACCTGCCATGAATTTACAGATTCGCTTTTGTTTTGATGGGTTTGAATTATAAATGGGTTTGACTATTCTCGGCTAAATGCAGCACATATAAATCTAACACAACATGAAGATGAATGTGAATAAACCGAGTAAATTTTAACATGATACGGCCACACGAATTCACTATTGAGAATCCTACAATCTACATAAATGAGGCTGCATCTTTGGCTAAAATATTGCTTGTTTCTGCAGGGGTTAAAAATGTGGACATAAACAGGAAACAGCAGAAGGCGAGTGTGACAGGGTATGTGGAGGCAAACAAGGTGTTGAAGAAGGCAAAGTCAACAGGGAAAAAGGCTGAGATTTGGCCCTATGTCCCCTACAACCTTGTGGCTCAGCCTTATGTTGCTCAAGCTTATGACAAGAAGGCACCTCCTGGCTATGTCAGAAAAGTAGAGAACCCAGCAAGTGGGACTGTCACCAGATATGAGGACCCCTACACTTCCATGTTCAGTGATGACAACCCCAATGCCTGCTCTGTCATGTAGCTTGAGGAAACAGTACTCTTCTGTTCAAATCTAGTCTCTCTCTCCTCTTTTTTTTCTTCTCTCCCTTGAAATGGGGTTTGATCAGAGTACTATGAAAATCTTTGTAGGTTTGTGGGACTGGTTTTGGTGGAGTGGAGCTGTAGAGTAGTTTTGGGTAATCATGAAAAGAGAATGGTTGGCTACTATAACCATTAGCTTAGTATATCTCAGTTTGTTGTACCATGTAATATTTGGGTCCAATTATTATGCTAAAAAGTAAATTTTTAGTACCATACGTCTTCTCTTTCATCCAATAAAAACGTAACATGTGTAAACTATGTTTATTTTATTATTTCACTTTACTTAATTATTTTTACAATCCGAAAAGAATAATTTTTACGATCAATGGCTCCAAATGTATCAATTTAAGTTCTTCAATTCTGAATTATTTTTGGTAAGATACTGAAATTATTTTCGTGGGTACCATAGCTTCATTCTCTCTCTCTCTCTCTCTCTATATATATATATGTGTGTGTGTGAGGTTATGAATTTTGTATTATCATAGAATAATTAAATTTTCCATCCATATTCTTATTACCTCAATACCTTCCTGAGGATTTTGATTGGTAGATCAAGTGGACAAAAATAATGAAATTTTAATTGTTTATAATCATTTCATATTTTACACGCCACTTCCAATAATCAGGAAAACAAAAATATAACGAGATCGAAGAGGGATAAACACGTTCAACTCTTCTCCAATTTACCTTTTTCCTTAATTTTCCTAAATGCTACATCACCCACCATGAATTTAAGTAAAACTCGCTTGCTAGATTGTGTGCTTAGAATGTGATTTAACTTCAAACGCGATTGTTTTGAGCTAAACTGTTAAGTCTTCAAAATTAAATATTTGAACTTCTTGATACAAAATTAAATATTTAAACTTGGCTAAATGTTCATAAACGAGCCTTTTGACACAGGTTAGCAAAAAAAAAAATATCTTCTTGGCTCTGGTATACAGCATTCAAAAACATATAAAGCAGAACAAACTAAAGCATTGTCCCTTTTAGTTGGTGGCAGAAAATTTGTTGAAGAAAGCTGAAAGGTAGAAGGAGCTGAAAGAACAACCTTTTGAGCCCCACCAACTTTGTTCCAAAACTGTAAGATCTCTCTCTCTCTGGGGTTTCAAGTTATTTGTTAAGTCAACCCATGAAAAGTCATTTTGCAAAAAATTATGTATTTGTAGGTAAGGATGATAATTGATCTGAGTCTATTGATCTTATTTTTCTAAACGAGCCTAAAAAATTGTTCAAGTTTACAAAATGAGACGCGCCCGAGCCACGTCCAAACAAGCCAAACTTGAGTCAAGCCTGAGTAACTCAACTATTTTACATATAAATGAGTCGAATTTTGCGAGATCGACCTAAGCCTTTTAGGCTCACTTCTAAACAAATCTATCCGAGCTTAGCTCGGCTCAATTATCAGCACGAGTAAAGTTCCGAGAAAAATACGGCGCCATTAGGAATTGTGATTAAAAAAAGGGCTCTAACTTGTAATCCAACCTCTCTCTTTCTCTATTTCCACGGCCTTGAAAGCTTGAAACTGTGTACCATGGCATGGCATTAGCACCAGCACCAGCACCAGCACCAGCACCATATTGTAGAACTATTGTCCAATAGGTACGGCCTTTATCACATGCCATCCTAATTTTATGATGGGTGCATAATCAAATATAATACTGGAGACATAAAATAAAAGAGCCATTTACAATCATTGTGCAATCCAACTCCTAAACCATTTCTTACTATCTTTTGAAGCATAAGTCAACTTAATGACAGAATAAATGACAAACCAAGTGTCATAGACAAATTATTATCAAAAGAAAAAGTTTAGTCATGTTCAACACAAACACTTAATTTATGATGAGCATTGTTGTCGTATTGTGTGTAAATAACATTAAGGGCCCACAAAATTATTCAGGGGTCCTTCAATTTCATATCCCACAATGGCTATCACAATCATCTGGAAAATTATTGAGAATCAATCAGTAATTTAATCAAACCAATATTTTCCATTTGACAATATTGATATTATATCTGCTTTTGTCGCAACTGAGGTGGTTTCCATGAGATCCTAGATTGTGACTTACAGCATAGCACTATAGTACAGAAAAACAAATTTGCAGTACCATACTTCTAATAAGAACATAACATGTGTCGAGCCTCTTTATTTCATCCTCCAGANGTCAATCAAAGATTTGCAGATTTTTTATTGATTGTACTTAATTTTATTAGCAGGAGACTATTGATTCATTTTTGAGGACTTTAGTGATTCTAAAATTTAATAGAATACGATGAGCATCAAATCAATTGAAAATGAATTTCGTTCTAAGAAAATTATGTTTTATTTATGGGAATTGAATTTGTGTTATTGAGGTTATTAGCGCTCTAAATTATATGGAATTGGGTTTGGGCGTTACAACCAGAGCTTGGTTTTATCATCTTAATTATATATTTGTAGATATTGCAGTCAACTTAGTAATTTTCTCATCTAACTATAGGTATGGTCTACCTTCAGGAGTCTTTCTTCCAAGCTGGACATTTTTTTATCTCTATGTCCCAGTTTGAGGGGATTGTTAGAGTGTTGCTTTCCTATTATTTCACTTTTTTATTGTTCTACTGTCCTATTATGTGGTTTTCCTATGTCCTACTTTTTTAATATTGTAATTGTCTCCAAAATCAATGTAATAAAAATTGGTGATAGGGTGTTGGCAGCATACGCACTACACAAAATATTGTTTTATACTCTATTTATTCCTCTCTTCTTCTCTTTCTTTTCCTTAACTGTAACATATAACTTTTCAGGTTTCAACTTTCTTCATCAGGGGCTTTTCTTGCCTTTGGACCTGAAGTTAATAACAAGCTGCATAGAAGCTTTGGCACAAGGCGCCGTGATGTTTTTTGGCTAGAGACATTTCTTATGTTTTAGTCAGGGGCAGCCTTAGTTCTACTTTCTTTTTTTCTCAGATAGCTTTCCATTCTCATTTGTTAATTAAATCTACCATATTATTCTCGTTTAAATGCTTGAATGAGAAGTAATTTTGTCTTTATCACATAAAAAATGTAATTTTGTCTTTATCATTGATACTGCAAAATTGAATCATGAATATTATTTAATCAGAATAGAATTTCGAACTTCCATTTCCACACTGTCGATTTTGTTTTTCCTTGTCATTTGAGACGTTGCTGGCTATTATGGAACATGATTGATGTTTAGTTGTTTACCCATTGCCCAATGCAACCAAAAAGTAAATTAATATTAGATAATACTCTTCTGGGGTTTGAAAGCTATAAATTAAATTTGCAAATGTTGCAGGCAAAAAAAGATCAGAAGCCAATTGTAAGTAATTTTATATCTTACTATGGTAGAATTGACAGCTGTTAGTTCTTCTGTCATCAATCCTGACACCAGTAGGTTGAGATAATGCATAAGTGGAGATCAGTCAGCTTGCTACTACTGATGATTGTATTCTTGCTTCTTCTTCGTACTGTACAAAGTTTCCCTTTCGATGTGCTGAATAATTTTGTCATTTCTTGCTCCTACTGTTGGTCGTGAATGTGAATGTCTAGTCTGTTTTAGTGATGTGAGTAACTTCTATCACATATTGATAATGGAAAAAAGAATGCATATTTGTGCTACATGGTCGTTAGTTCCTAAGATGGTTTACACTGTCTTTTTAATGATTGTCCTGTACTTGAACATTTCTTCCAGAAGCAAGTGCAAGTGCAAGTGAATCTGAAGATGACAACGAAAGAGCCGACGCTGCAGAGGAAGATACGGAGGATGAAGACCACACTTTCTTTGATACCCGTGATTTTCTCTCATCAAGTTCTTTCAAAAGCAATGGGTCTGACATTCGGACATCGTCTTTTTCATCTGATGATGATGGATTGTATGCATTTGAATCAGAAGATGGAATGGACCCTTCCATTACATCTGCTGTAACTAAATTCCCTTATGTTAAGTGTCGCAAGAAATTGCCTGAACCTGTTGAAAAAGAGAAGCGAGTTAGTCTTTGGTCAATGATTAAGGATAATATTGGGAAGGACCTTACAAAAGTTTGTCTTCCTGTGTACTTTAATGAACCTCTCTCTTCTCTGCAAAAATGCTATGAAGATTTGGAGTACTCTTATCTTATTGACAGGGCATATGCATGGGGAAAAGAGGTAACTTACATGCTCATTAATACATTGATTGCTTCTTTTGTGTGGTACATACCTTTGTTGTGCAAAGTGTCATTTTAAACTGCACAACTCGAATTTCTGTTAATTGTGCTAGTAGGAACGTAAGATGTTTTGATCGAACCAATATTTTAGTTTATGCTTAGTTTGTTTGTATTTTGCTACGTCAGTCTCTTTTGTGGTTTTTAGGTGATGCAAGATAGCTTACTAGATAAAGACATTGGTCCTGCATCGCATGCCAAGATGCAAGTGTCAATTTTTAGGTTCTTGAGCATTCCTTATAAAGTTTATCAAAATAAAATGAAAAAGATGTTGTTTTTGTAAACCTATTGTTTGTCTAAATATATTCTACCATGGCATGTATTATTTTGGTACATGACTATTAGAACATCCAACCCAAAACCAATTGGCAAGGGTGGAGTGGCCTCTCAAGCATATAAACCAATCTTTGTGGTCCTCTAATTATTCGATGTGAGATACAAGTGCTCTCAACAACGTCCCTCACTTGGGACCTGGGCCCGCACATGGGGTCAACAAACAAGCAGAAAACTGTGTATACCGAAAAACTCAACTGGGTAAAAAACTTGGTTCACTGACCATCGAAGGTTTAACTTTGATACTATGTTAGAGCATCCAACTCAAAATCAATTGACAATAGGTGGAGTGGCTCTTCATGTATGTAAACCAACCTTGGTCGTCCTAATTATTCAATGTGGGATACAAGCTCTCTTAATAGCCTCCCTCACTTTGAACTCGGGCTCGTACGTGAGGCCAACAAACAAACAAATAATCATTCATATACCGGGATTCAAATGGGTAAGAGGCTTGGTCCACTAACAACCCAAGACTCAGTTCTGATACCATTTTAGAGCATCCAACCCAAAATCAATTGGCAATTGGAGGAGTGACCTCTCAAGTATATAAACTAATCTCGGAGGTACTAATTATTCAATATGGGTGCAAGCTCTCTTCACAATGACATGCTATGGGGATTGAATCAGAGCATTGTGTTGTACACTGGATGAGTCTGCTATTTATCTTAGTATAGTCTGATTCTGTTTGCTCTTCTTATAGTTAGTTATTGCCGTGGCTTTTTTCCTGGCGATTATGTTGATTTCCATGTTACATTCACAGTTTGTATAGTGAGATTCTATGCAGAAAACAGAAGTTTTTGAAATGTGTTTAAGATTCGAGAATATAAATTACTGATATGCTTAGTTGAGTTCGTTTGCAATCTCATTCTCTATTAGTCAACTTGCCATCATATGGTTCATGCATAGATCTTTTACGTGTGTGTTGGTTCCTCCCAATGGATTTCACTCGTCAATATGAAAAAATCACCAGGGCTCTCGTCCACTCTTTTGCTGAATGCCATTGTCAAGTTCCCAATTGTGTTATGTTAATTGTTACATCTGTTTAGGGTTGCTGGATATGTTGAGATTTGTCATTGTTATTTCTTCTTCATTGTCGTCATAATCGTTACTAAAATGACACAATTAGCTCTGGAATATAAACCTTGTCCAAGCAGTTAGAGAGTGATGCATGGTTGTTTGAGTGGACCAGTTGATGTCTTTTCATTACGCAAAAAACGTTTATATTTAATGTTGTGGTTGGACGAGTCACTCCAATCAGGGGCTTCCTTTGATGAGTTGAGTAGCTGAAATGACTTTGTCAGCTTGTAATCCTTCTTGATTACATTTTCTATTAGGGTAACAGCCTTATGAGGATTCTAAACGTAGCAGCATTTGCAGTATCTGGATATGCTTCTACTGAAGGAAGAAATTGCAAATCATTTAATCCATTACTGGGGGAGACTTATGAGGCTGACTTTCCAGATAAAGGTCTTCGATTTTTCTCCGAGAAGGTGCCGTTTTGCACTGGAAGCAATTTTTAATTTCTTCTTGTATATTCAGTGTGTTCTATAGAATGCACATTTTATTAACTACAAGCCGCTTGTTTTGTGACAGTTGAATTTCAGGACTCCGGATGTTAGACCCATGATTAGGCATTAAAGCCTGTAATTCTAGCATGTCAAATGGGCAATAACAATTAGTTGATCAAAATATATTCACCATTTCACTCTTGGGATAGTAAATGTTATATAAAACTTCTGTTCTGCTTAGGAAAAAGAAATGCCTTTTTTTTTCCTGGGGGGATCCCAGAACCATATTTTGATCGCACTTCAGTTGTTGTTGATTACCCATGACATGATAAACTCATTGTTTCCCTAGCCATTACAGAACCATATAGGAGAGGGCCACAAACAAACTCAATGACCTTTTTTGATTATTAAAATTGAAAGTTTGTTGGCTAGATTGCTGAACCAATTGTCAGGTGCTCCATTCTCTTGTATAGTGAGACAAATACAATTCTATATGCTATAATTATAATGTCAAATAAATAACTGGTTTCAAAATTGTTTCATTAATTGTTGGGGGACAACCTTGAAAATAATAACACCAAGTTTAGTCCCCATTAATGGGGGCTTGGGAGGGAGAGATTGGGGCTAACCATGTTACATGCCATTTTTTGTATCATTTCTAGTTTCTAACCACAAATTCTGTGACAAATGTTTTTCCTGCCCAAGACTTTATCCAGTCCACCTCTTTCTTTCCTGCACCCTCAGCACTACCAGCGTCAGTGGCATATTTTTCTTCCCTGCATCTCATGGTTTCTTTTTTATTTATTTTTTATTTTTTTGAGAAGTGTGTCAATCTTAATTTTTGCTTTAGCTAATTTTTCTCTTGCACTTCTTTGATTTCCTCGAAAAAGAAGAACACCTAATGTACACCTAATCTGTCTCATGAATAACTCTAATATTTTTTAAGTTACGACTAAGTTGTTATTGGGACACACGGTATAAAATAATCTTGTAGTGATAGAATTGAGTTCAATCTCACTTAATGGTCTTGTGGTAGAATGTTAATTGAAGACCGGACATGATGACAAAACCACAAAAGTCAAAGAGAGAGAGAGAGAGAGAGAAAAAAAGGGGGGGGGGGGGGGGGGGGGGGTGGTTGGACTAACAAGTTAATTATTTTGTATAAATCATCGCAAAGGTATAATAGATTGAGATGACGCCTGCCTTAAAGTTAGATCGAGTGCTATTAACAATCATCTTGTATAAAATGTCTGTATTGGAGGACATCTTTCTATATTGGTAATAAATAGACTGATTACACCTATTGGAGAAGGGTTCTCGGTACATGATGTGATACTAACTGGGTTGGAACTATGAAGAGATTCTTCAACTTCAAAAAATATAAGCTAAGCAAAAAGTGTAATTCAGGTTCAGGCAATAAGGTGACACCTAAAAAGAACTAATTCACTGCCGATAGAGATTGAATAGCTCTTGAATTTTTAAATCAACATGAAACAGACAAAGAGGAAAATTTCTTCTAGGATATTGTAGGATTTAAAACACGCATCAATGCAATTTTAGAACCCAGCAATACTCAAAAGGCTCCCCATAATTAACACTGTAGAACAATTCAAATCAATAAATTATCTACGCACAAACTGGGCATTTTCCATTTTGAGTAAATTGATTTTGATGAATTGAAAAATATTAAGGAATAGAATGAGGAAAAAGTATTTATGAAAGCATTTGACAATGACAAGGCATTACAGTCCATAACAGCTTGAAATCGCAACAAAGACCATCTAATTTTTCAGTCACTATTTTACACAGCTAAGTAGCCCGAACGGAATATAAGGGAAATAAACAAAATAAGAAAATCAAAACAAAAAATAAAAAATGCAGAGAAAAACTATCATTCTCATCAAGTAATGTGCAACTTCCAATCCACGAACCAGTTATAAATAAGTATAAAGTTTAGCAGCCATTTGAACAGTGAATTTCTATAAACATCTGGTATTCATATTAATATGTAGGTGTTTATGAACTCACGTTGATAAGCTCGCCATAAGGGGCCTCCTCACCAGACCCAACAGCAACATCGCAGTAACCCAGACCGGAACGAGCGAAATTAAGCTCACAGGAGGGCTCTGCTACGGTGGCGTAGTACTCCACTCTGGTTGCTTCGGCGTCCAGCGGTGTCAAACCCACCATTGAAGCAGCCAAAAGCCCAACACCCACTTCCAATATCCGATTCTTATTGATGTAATGTGGAGATTTGGAATGTGGAGTAGAAGAAGCAGTGGCTCTGAAGTTAATGGAAGGTTTGGGATTCAGGGTTTGTAGGGTAAGCTTTGATGTAAGAAAAGGTAGTGTTGAGACCGCCATTTTGGTTCACTGTCTGTCTCTGAATGTGGATTTGGATATTTTTCACTATCCAGAGCAAGTGGGCTGTATGGGATATGGGTTTTAGAGAGAGAGAGAGAGAGAGAGATGAAAAGCCTCTGGCATTTCAATTTGAAAGCTTCTTGTATATTAAAATGACAACCTGACATTTAGATTAAATTCTGTAATCACCCCTCGTTTTTTATATTAACACAATGATCCTTCAATTGTTTTTTTTTTTTTTGGGGTACGTTGGAGGAAATAGATATGCAATATATTCGCCAAACAGTATTACACATAGTTATATATGAAGAAAGACGATCTTATTGTACTTATATCAGAGTCAAAACTAAATCTCACTATGTCTTCTAGAAATTGAAGATTAGGTTTATTTTCAAATTTCGATGATATCTAAGAAATTCTTTCAAATTATAAAATCACATCATCTAAAGAATATTTGTGATAAAGAGATGGAATAATTTACCAAGCGTAGAGAGAAGTTATTTCATTTGTTCACCATTTTTACATCGATTTCTTATACTCTTCAAGGTGAGATATTATGCATTATGGCTTATGGATAAGGATCCTCGCCCTCGGTTCACCTCTAGTTGACTGCTAGTAATTCAAGCTTGACTTAAACTCGGCTATCGAGTTTAGATTCTTCTTCAAGTTAAGTTCAAAATTTTGATTGTATGCTCAATTTGACTCAACTCAAGAGTTTTTGTATTATATCACACACCCAACAACTATTTGTAATCTAAGCTTCAGTTAAGTTCGGTTGTCAAGTTTAGATTTTTTTTCAAGTTCGGCTCAACATTTTGATCATATGCTCGATTTGGCTTGTTCGGCTCAACATTTTGATCATATGCTCGATTTTGGCTTGTTCGGCTCAACATTTTGATCATATGTTCGATTTGGCTTGACTCAAGAGTTTTTATATTATATCACACGCTCAACAAGACTCAAATCCATAATCTTCCAATTAGAAGGCAAATACTTTATCCATAAGGTATGTGTGGTATTTTTTTACTTATTATTATGAGAAAAATGAAAAATACTATATAACCAAAATTTGCATCCCAAATGAATACGGATCATTGGATAAGTAAATCCTATCAATTTTTTTTAAATGGGATCCATTGATCCAATGATTATCCTTCATTTGAGATGCAAATTTAGATTGCAAATTTAAATTCCATAGCATTGCTAAAAAAGAATTTAGATTATATTACAAACCAATTGAGTTTGAGCCTACCAAAGCGAATCTAATGTTAAACGGGTTCGATTTGAATATTGAACGAGTTTAACTCGACTTTGTTCAATTAGTTCAATAGTTTTGAACGTGTTTGAACGAGTTAAGATTAGTTCGACCTAAGTAAGTAGAACTTACCTATATGCAATATATCACTTACATTCATAATGGATAAGCTCAAATTAATGAAATTAAGAGACTCTAAAATTGGAAAGGAACGAATTCAATGGATTATATACCACTAATCTCCATCCCAAGCCACGACCTCTTAATCTCCACCTATCTTTTTGGGAACCCAACAATCTCTCTAAACCTATCACTCCATTGGTGATCAGCATCGACATTGTCCAAGGCCCCTCTTCTCCACACCATATTTTTGGGAACCCAACAGTCTCTCTTGACCTGGCACCCATTCTCTCTCTCTCTCTCTCTCTGGTGCCATATTTAAACTTTTCTCTCAAACTGTTTGGAGTTTTCTCTTTTCGTTTTATTTTCTTCATAAAGAAAGGTTAAACCAAAATGGGTCGTGTTAAGCTTCCAATTAGAAGAATAGAAAACAACACGAACCGACAAGTTACATTCTCAAAACGTAGAAATGGACTCATCAAAAAGGCCTATGAACTATCAGTTCTATGTGACATTGACATTGCTCTTATCATGTTCTCTCCATCCGGTCGTCTCAGCCATTTCTCCGGCAAGAGAAGGTGGGACAATTCATGAATCGGAAATTCTACTTTTTTTCCATGTGTTTATTCTTCCTATTCATTTGCTACCTTTTCATCCATGTTTTTGGAAAGTGAATGAGTTTTCATGATTTTTGTATCTGACACATTATATTTTTATTTTGCAGAATTGAAGATGTGCTTAGTCGTTACATCAATCTACCTGATCATGATAGAGAAAGGTACGTAATTTTTTTTACAAGCAATCTAGTTTAGTATCATTAATCCCGATACGAGATAACATCACTTAATCAACTGTGTTACAATGGCTTTAATTGCGTTTTCTTAATCTTTGGCTCTTTAGATAGCTTACTTGATTTATTGATTTTTTTTCTTGCAAGAGAAGTGATAATTTTTTTTTTTTTTGACAATTGCAGTGTTGTTCAAAACAGGGAGGTAAGAAGATAGATGACTTGATAGTGGCTTATATGAATTTGGAAGAATTTGAATTTGAGAAATGCTGCATGTAATTACAAGTTGTGTTCTTTTGATTATTATTATACACATGCAGTATTTGACCAGAGCTCTAAACCAACTCAAGAATGAACATGACATAGCCGTCCAACTTAGCAGGTCTCTCTCTCTCTCTCTCTCACACACACACACACACATGCATACAAGAAAAACTAGAAGCTGTTTTTGGGTTTTCTTAAACAAGATGTCTCTCTNACACATGCAGTATTTGACCAGAGCTCTAAACCAACTCAAGAATGAACATGACATAGCCGTCCAACTTGGCAGGTCTCTCTCTCTCTCTCTCTCTCTCACACACACACACACACACACATGCATACAAGAAAAACTAGAAGCTGTTTTTGGGTTTTCTTAAACAAGATGTCTCTCTTTTTTTTTTTTTTTTTGAATCAGCCCTGCAGCTCTTAGTCCAAATGTAGAGGTACGTAAAAGACCCTACACACACACACACACACACACATATCTAGATATATACACATGTGGAATTTCAGGTTTATTCTGATCATCAATATTACCATTATTTTTTCAGGAATTTCAACAAGAAATCAATAATTTGCAGCATCAACTTCAAATGGCCGAGGAACAATTAAGGTAAGCGAAGGGTGTTTAAAATAAGTAAAGCCCCACTAGGTCATTTATTGTCCGTATAAGTGTGATTTGCGATACATAAGTTGGTTTGTGCCATTAATACACGATGAATGATTTAATATTGAAAATATCTCAGTTCGATCTAATGGGTTGGTCTCTAATTTCTTTGGGTTTTTGAATATATATCTTCAAAGGATATTTGAACCAGACCTAAGAAGTTTGAGGACGACTGATGAACTTGAATCTTGTGAAAAGCACCTTACAGACGCATTGGATCGCGTTACACAAAGAAAGGTATAGTACCGTATGTAGGTTTTGGATTACGAAGAATATTTAGTGTTAAATTTACTCGTATTTTCTCATTGTTAGATCATTCATAATTTTTTGGTCGGAGATCCATCTGAGTTGAAAAAATTTAGAGAATTTAAATTCATTAACTAGTGTTTTTTAGAGGTAATACACTTCCTCTCAATTTTTTTTCTTCTTTTTTTTGTTTTTTTTTTCAGAAGTATTTGCTCAGTAGTCATTTATCAACTTTCGACCCTTCAACTATACAGGTAACGAGATAATCATAACTGTTTCACTATAAGAAGTCACACTTTTCTTTCCAATCAGGGCATCTAGTCCTTTACTTGTATGCATTTTGGTTTCTCTAAAAAAGATTTCTCAGCGTCTGATGATTCTCTAAAATATACTAATGCGCTCAATCAACTCATCAGCTTGTTCAAAAATATTGTAATGAAAGAAGCATAAGAGTTTGTCACTAGTTATTCGACCAAATAAGATCGTCCTTTATCACTAAATTACCCCTAGAGGGGAATAAGGCCAAGCAAAGCGAAAAAAATAAGTTTTTCATGAGGTGGGAAATAAAAACTATTAACCCCACACGAAATTAGAGAATAAAAAATCATTAAACTTGAGATTAAGAGAATTTGAATCCATTTATTTTTTTGTCTTTGATATGATTTGATCCATAATTTTTTAGTTGGTTTATATATAAATTGTTTGTATGCACTATATTTTGGGTTTAATAAACAAATAATTCATTATTTATATCCTTTGTTTGGCGATGAGAAAAGCAAATGAGTACAGCGATGCAATTAATTATGGAGGCGCAGGAGGGAGCAACCTCATTCGGAAACGAGGTTATCCATTGCTGGCCAGAAACTGCAGCCAATCAGGGTGTTAAGGATCACAACACCAATCAAATTTTTACTGGCCCCCACACCTCTTGTTTTCCTCTAAGGTATAGACATAATTTATCCTCAAATAATATAAATAAATATATATATATATTTGATGAAATTATCTTCTGTTTTTTTTTTTCCCAGGAACCATTCCTCCACTACAGTGTACGATGCATTGTCACACACAAACGGTGTAAATGGAGAGACACATACACACAGCATTGAAGGGTGCCAAATTAGTGATCCAGGTGATGATAGCTTTCCACAATGGCATCACTCTGCTGGACTTTTCACTGCTCTCATGCAATCAGAAAACCCTTTCTCTTTAACCAAGGTTTTCATCTCTAATCACTCAAATCTTTTATTTATTCCATGGGTTAGTCATAGTCATGTCAATGAACCAGATTTTAATATAAATTTAGTTCGAATGCGATTAGTCGGATATAAATTAATCATTTTGATTTCATGTATTAAAGATTTTATTTTTTGGTAATCTGGTAAGCACGTATTAAAATGTGGATACACTAATATCATATATGTTTATAATCCAATACCACTTATATATGGATATGCACATAAATATATGACGAAATTAAATGATTATTTAATCAAATTACATTGTCAAAATTAAACTAGATTGAGTTATTCACCTTGGACCGGATTTTCATATCAAATATTTGACTCTTAATAGATTTGGTTATGGACTATGGAAATAAAATCTGTAAAATGATAGAATCATAGTTTTTTAATCTGATTCGGGTTTGAATTGACTAAAAGTTGACCATAATCCAATCTTGTATATAGTAAACTGATATACAGACTGAGTTATGTACACTTTGTTTGTCTAGGCCCAACCAGCACATAGACTTGGTGGCTCTTTCCTAGCTACTTCAAGAAGAAGTGGTATTGCAATGGCTAATTCCATGCCAAAAGTTACTAACAAAATCTCATTTCTTATGGCAGAATGAAATGCATAGTCCAAACATAGAAACAATGTCTGTGCATCAGCCGGTGGAAGCGTCGTCGGCAGTGTGCCAACAGGTGCCATTGAGTGAAGAAGGTGCAAATTATGAGACCAACCTTCCCTAGCTTATAGGGGGGGACTTGTAAGGAAAGCGTGCCCAAAGATTATATAAACACATCTAGTCTCATTTAACCAATGTAGAATCGTAACCACCTCCTCCTCCTCTTCTTCTCCTACTGTCAATTGTCATGCTTTAACCACATCTGTTTGAAGTGCTGCTTTTATGATTTATTTTGACAAACAGAGTTTTATCTTGATAAGTTAGTAGACAATGCACTATAAGGTCTTGAAAATTGGAAGGCAGACCTTTGTTGTCCCATACAGTCAGGAATTGGGGCCTAATAGTCACTTGCCATATGCGTTTCTCTCATGCCTTTCATCGTTCAAGATTCGATATACAACTCCTTTTTCAAGTTTCGAGCAAAAACCAAGCAAAATTTCATTGATTTCGGCTTTCTATTTATTCAGACTTATGAATTCTTTATTCAATTACGACAAAAATGGAGACTCTCTTTCATATATATATATATATATATATATATCCCACAAATTCACTAAATAGTAACATGTTGATACAATAAAGATGCCTTTTGAATAAAAACTGTGAAGATTGTCAAGCCAAACACCATGTCATAAAATTCTAACTTGTCATCAGTAACTTGAAGTTTGTCTTCACTTAGAACAACCAACAACTAAGTACAGTTTTCATCTAGCAAAAAAGAAAGAGTTTTAGAGCTATACTTCTACGACAGTGCACCATAATACAAGAAGGTCCAGCTCTTCTAGCATTGTTACACAACAAACAGCTTAAATATCAAGACCCTCCAAGTTCAAATTGTCCGCGAAGATCAGGTCATCCCATTCCCACATGCCACTTCTTTGTATCCCTGTAGTCCAGAATGTGTTGTCCTCAAAGTCACCCTGGTGACATAACAGAAAAAAAACATTTCCTAAGCACCCAACTTAATGTCGTTTGTCAATGTTTTTTACGCACATTTTTAAATTACACAAAATATATTGATTAATATTTTGTTAAAGTGGTCTATATGCATTTTAGTATATAAATGATACAGTTATATTTACATAAGCGTGCTGCTAAATATGTGATTAAGTTTTGGAGGAAAATTGCAAATCTAGATGAAAAATACAGAGAAACATTACTTAAAAGCCACCAAGTGTTTCAACTCACCTCTGTAGGAAGGTTATCTAAAGAACCATTGGGGACTCCCTTTGGTGGAACCACTTGATCCATAGCTGGAGAGTAGTGCTCATTTCCGTGGCCTCGACCATTGTTGCTGTTATTGTCATTATTGTCGTCATCGTCGTTGTTGTTGCTGCTGTTGTTGTTGTGGCTATTATTCTTGCTGCAGTCCATATTGGTCTGAAAGATTCCTCTCAAGTTCATGTGTGACAAGCTCAAGTTAGGATTTAAACACTCAAAACAAGTTATTAATGAGTTCTGTCTGGATTAACACGATTATTACCTGATTCAAACATAATCCTTTGCCAGTTCTAGTCGTCGTGGTTGCAATGGAGGTGGTAGTGGTGGAAAACGGTGCATTTACAATCACGGATCCAATCCTGCAAATAAATTAGAAGTAGTCAATGGTTTTACCGACTGTGTGGTTATGTTATGTTGGAGATAACTTGTGCAGAGATACGATCTATGAGCAAAGATATCTCAATCTTGACTGAAAAATATGTTGGGGTTTTAAACTAGCAGTACTTAAAGTATTTATCAACCTTTGGCGAAAATATAAGTAGCCAGCCTTCGTAAAGGCTGACCTGATTCTTGGATTGTTAAAACATTCTCGTACCAACTACTTTTTTTTGGTAACTTAAATCTTAGATGCATGAAATCACTCGCAAACCACGTGCATGTGCTAAAGTCGGAGTAGTTTGCATTTTTTCCCTTATTCGACCACTGAATCAATCCGTATAAGTTAACAGAGTCATAATAAATTAATATGATGGTATGAAACTCGAAGGCATACATGTCAAGATTCAATGGCTGAGAGGCTCTTGAACTCCGGCTATTGTTGTGAATACCACCGCCAAAGTGATTCAGGTGCTCGCCATTTGAGATAGATCCAAAGGAAGCATTTTGTTCAGCACCCATTCCCTGTTATTGAGAAGGTGAAGGTGTGGACCATAGACAGAAAGCAGAATATAGAAATCAAACAATAATTCAATATTATTTTTTTCTGTTTAAGTATTCGTCTTCAAGAAGAATTTTACCTCATGATGGCCAAATGCATGTGGTGAGTGCTGTTGAACACCAAATGGTCCATTTGCTCCAATTATCCCCTGTAGTCAAGTTGTTTAGTTTGTGTAACTCACGGATACGGCAAAACCTAAAAATCAGTTTTTGCCTTGAAAAAATTGGTCGCCAAAAGTGCATTGTTGGTCACAAAAGACTTTTAGTGACGACCGACAAACACAATTGCCACCAAAGGTGCATTCTTTTTGATTTAGTAATTGGCACATAATGAAAAAAAGTTGTGGGTGAACAGGCACACTCAATTTATGTAACAGAGTCGTCACGTACCAAAGATGGGCTCTCCAATACTCCTGCTTGTTGATTGAAGAAAATCGAAGGTGATGGATTGGTGCCCCTCTGCCATGATTAGTCAGAGATGTTTATGAAGGTAAAAGTGGAAATATGAACACCATATTATAAAAAAATAAAAATAAAAAAGAGACTTAGACCAATCAAATCTGAAGAAAGTTTGTGTAAGTAATTGAAACCTGAGTCAAGTCATAATTCTGTTGGATGTCAGTCATTGATGAAGGTAAATCGAGGATCGGAAGGTTGGTTGCGCGATTGCTAGAGGTTTCTTGCACTTGGTCACTGGCTGACGACTTTCTTTTTGCTTGATCAAGTAGGTCTTGAAATATGCTCTCACGGACCTTAGCACTGTTATTGAAATATGCTCTCACAATTTTTTTTTTTAAAAAAAGCACTCAATATAGTGATGGCCTTTACTCTTATTGAGATTAAAATGAACCTGTATGGACTGATCCAAGGATCAAGTTGCAATAAAAGCTGCCCAGGAGCAGGGTTTTGTGCTGAAGAGTTGATCAATGGCATGCCACCTTGGCTCTCCATTTCCATGAGATCCATCTGATCAAAGCTTAAGTTTTATTAGACATCAAAAGTGAAAAACAAAATATTTTTACATTAGCATGAGTCACAAGCTAAAAATAATGAATTATAGACTAGTGTATTCACTTGCTTACATCTAGTATGGAATATTACGATTCCACGCTGGCTGAATATAAGTTTATATGTGTGTATATGAACTCTTGAACACTCTCTAAGTGTAAGACGGTTTTCATGGGTATGTTCTACTAATGAGTTTATAACCATCAAAGCTAACCACAACACTGGCTAAGGGATTAGACACTATATTGGTTTCGGTTCTGTGGTCGAGTCACGAAAATTTGTGCACAAACAGTGTTTTGAATCTTAACAAGTTGTAAGTATATTGCTCAAACTTTAATATTGTTGAATCCACCTAGCTTGAACATGTGTTCATTTTCAAAAAAAAAAGACTTGTGTTTGAGCTTAATCACGGACAAGTGTACAACATCGAACTTGGCACCTTTATATTTATATCACATAATAGGACAAATAAATCATTACTCGAGCTTGACTGATTTGATAAGTGAACAAACTTTTATCTAAGCTGTATCCTACATATCTATTTTCATATGTCATAGTGTACTACTGTACCTGAGAACATGGCCTCGTGTACGAGGAAGACAAGCTACCATACAAAGCTTTCTGGCAGCAAAATAATTGGAATTATCATTAAGTGCCAACAATTCACCTCATTAGATGACTATATAATTTATAATTGACATATAAATAGTAACAACTTTTAGGTTTTAGAACTGACTTTTCGGGCCATGACTCGTTGCAAAGACTGTTCTATATTTCTCTCGCACCATGAAAGTTGATGAAGCGAAGGCTCTTGTTCCGGGCCTGGTTCATAATCCCTAAAGGACACAGAGAAAAAAAAGGCAGTATCAAATGTCGTATGAGTATGCTTTATTAAGTAACTTTGGTTTTGTGCTTTTACGTTTTTACTTTTTTTTTTTGTCCCGAGTTTTCTCCCTTCTTCCAAGTTTAATCGCATATAACAGTATCCATATATATATAAGCGTACTACCTGTATACTGAGATGTATATAGATATCTTTTGAGAAATAGTAACCAAGCATGTTGTTTACTTCTAGCAAATTTGATTTTTTGCTTAAATAAAAGTGCTTAAAAAAGTGTTATCGAACCTTACATTACAAAAATTTTGGGAAATGGCCAAAACAAAAACTATATTACTAACCGGAGATCGGCTTCCAGTATCTGTAGTTCTAGTGTGCTCTTCTTGATTTGTAGTTCAAGATTCTGCAAGAAATCACAACTGAAGTAATTGAGGAAAACATTTGTAATTAACCTTAAATTGTTTTTGTAGAACATGATATCACATAAAGATTTACTTACTTCAATTCTGGATTCGACGAAATGGAGGACCGAGTGGAATAGTGAAGTAGCAATGCATCATAAGGAACTTTAATTAGGAAACAGCATTGCATCATAATCAAAGAATATGTGTAAAACATCAAACATATATGAAATTGTAGGTATTATCAAGAAAGTTCAACATCATGATACCACCCGGCCCGGGGCGATTGCGAGAGGGGGTTGGTTTTGAATATGGCAGATGCATTATATGAAATCTATGAGGACATTTGTAAGAAGGAATTAGGTTGACACATTAATTAGGAAGAAAAGGATTGACTTTTACAAAATCCATTCCAAATCTTAGATGCAATAATAATGTCTGATGAAATTATACCTGATTTTATGCTGATGTTTTTGGTGGTATCTGAGTAACATCATAAATACTATAGTAGTTACTTAAGATATCAAGGGACTTTATGGAATGTAATTTACAGAATGATTACATACATATTTTAAAGAAAGTAAAATGTATTTTTCTTTAGGAACAAAAAATTTAAAAAATTATGGGACAACTTGGTAGGGAATATCTATGATCCTCTTTGTAGTTCTTAGTGGTGGAGTAGTCCCACCGTGTTGTGGAACATCCAAACCATTATCGATGGATGTTGCAAATCATCCGCGCTTTATTTTGGGCACCTCAGACGCAAGCGAGGGTTGCTCGTTCTACTGTGATCCAGCCTCCATTTGGAGCAAATAGCAAAGATAACAGACTAACCAGAGAGCTCTAAATGAAAAAGGGGACACGCACCACATCCATTTTTGTTCTTGCACAGTAGTCGTCATTTTACATGATTATCATCGTTGCATTTTTTAAAGAATTTTTTTTTATTATTGCAACTTTTTCGGATTAGACATATTCAATTGCGTTGTCTTTGGGAGTGAATCTATTGAAGTATCGGCGCAAAGAATTGAAAGATATATATACTAAGCCAACGACTAGTATACCAACATTATTCAGAATAATTACAATATTAACCATTAAAGAAGAATTTCTACACCTAAAGATAAAAACTAAATTAACATTCCCCTCGTTGGATTTTATCAAATTTTTCTTTAAGCAATTTGACATGAGCATTTCAAGATTAGTGGGATATTAGGAGACAACTTGGCAAAATTAATGTTTAATGCAGATGATGAACAATTATAAGTTTTCATCTAATATGCCAATAAATATGTCCGATGAAAACTCGAGAAAATCATATGTGTCTAATCTGATATAAACACAAGAATGAAAACATGCAATAGGATCACGTGAAACAAAACAAAGGATAATATTTTTCGTTGCCATAATCCAATATACTCGTGGCGCGCAAAAAAGTCGCATTTCGGCGATATGGATAGAAAGAATCTAATGCTTAATCCCAACTAATGTTTGGATTTTATTTCCTAAATTTACATAACACATCTGTAAAAATGTCTACAGGGCGTTTAATGAGAGAATGCATGCAAAAGTAAAACTATATATTGCTTAACACAAGATGAAGAAGGAACATTCTACACTATCTTATATCTACTAGAATTGAAAGGAATCCGAGTGACCAAAAAAAAATAAAGTGGAAAGATATTCATAGAGAGAGAGAGAGAGAGAGACTAACTGTTTATCTAGGTATTGTAACTTGCTGGAGTCACCTTTAATGTGGTGAAGTTGCCTAAGCTTCTCTTGCTTTTCCTGCAGAACATGACCATGTATACATATATATATATATATATATATATATATATATGCATTTTTTTTATCAACTTCACTCATTTTACACTGAGCTAATTATCTAATATCTAGTTAACAAGATTACAACAAAAGTACCTGAACGTTTCGTATATGACTTTGTAACCATCAATAACAAGTTCATAGTCATCAACGAGAGTGGATTCCAAACAATTCCAAGCGGAGAACAAAAAAGATAAAAGATAAAATAAAGGATACACAAATTAGTCAATTATGAACATAAAAAAATAATAATAATAAAAATTCATACTTTATTCTCCTATCTGCTGGCAAATTGACAAAACGAAGGAGCACATCTTCAATCCTGCTTAACGGGAAATAAAAGGAAAATTAGTAAGACTTTATGTGACCTTGTACCATAGTTTGGGATTCTAATATCATTTTCTACCATAAAAAATTTTGTTGAAGCAAGACTTATATACAACAAATTTTTTTTTTTTTTTTTTTTTTTGTCTATGAACCCATTTTTATACCAATAAGATGAAGATGGATTCGTATTCACATACGTGGGTATTATATATGAAGAAAAAGAAAAAGAAAAAAGAAATGACCTTTTCTGGCTGCAGAACTTGCTGATGCGACCGGAAGGAGAGAAGGCAACAAATGCAACATCTACGTCGCAGCAGACTGAAATCTCTTGAGCTTTCTTGATCAAGCTGCTACGACGCTTTGAAAAAGTAACTTGACATTTTGTAATATCCTCGATCTTCTTCATGTCTATCTTACGACCCATTATAGAGCATACATATGTAGAGTTGAGAGAGAGAGAGAGTGTGAGAGAGAAAATTTCTTAGCAGTTGGATAGGAACTAAGGAAGGAGTGAGAAAGCTCTTCTTGTTTACATAGATTTCTTTCCTATGAAGGAGTAATTTATAAGCCATGAATGGCTTGTGTTCTAAATGTGAAAAGGTGAACACATTGTGAACTTGTGTAATACTTGGCATCCCTACCACCACTATGGACAGCATAATTACTACAACTGCCATGCAATTTCCCCACACAAAAACTAGTTCACTGAAGCTAGACTTGGCAGAGCTCAGGGTAGTTTTGGAAATCTAATCTACCCAAACCTTTTGGATGTGGATCCTCCAATACATGTTTTAGTTTATTTTTTTTCAATATTAAATCACCAGTAATAAATTGACAGTGGACCCACATATAAATGTGGTCCCCACTTTAATATATCATCAATATAATTAAATAAAAAAATGTATAGAAAGGATTTGGATCTGTTCGGTATAGATATTATTTCACCTGATCCGGAGGAAAGAACAAAAAAAGCCACTGAAAATTTAGATGAGAAACCTAAATGTGGGAGATTTGTCTTGTCTTGGGCTTAGGTAAAAGGGTTCTTAGTTATTATAGCAGCAGACCCTTTTTTTTTTTTTTTTTCTGTTAGAGACTTGTATTTATATTTCTTTTTCTTGAAGAAATCATGTTCGATCTCATGCCGTGATGGTTATTTTAAAAATTTTCAAGAATTATGATGAATATATAACAAAGAAATCCTAAAAGTTAAGAAATAAGTTGAAGTTTTTTTAAATTGAATCATGTCAAGATTTAGGCTCAAAATTGTCAGAGAGAAACTATTTGAAATTATTGAGATGGAAGCTTTGCCATGTAATGTGATTCTGCCAATTAAATTTGTTTTTTTTTTTTTTTTCATTTTTACAATTTAGCACAAAGCAAAAAATGCAAAAAAAAGAAATTGTCCAAATCGGCACAACGACGAGATATTTAGGTTTTCTTTCCACTCCGTCTTTCTTTTTAAACTTAGGTTCTTTTCTTTTTAAACTTAGGTTCTTTTGACTTAGTGTTGGAGTTTAGGCTTTGAATCTTAAGTTATCTTGGATTAACTTCGTCATTCGAGTTTGATTACCTTTTTTTTTGTCTTATCTTTCATTAAACCACAAAATAAAGAAAAAAAGATGCAATAATAATGACTAATAAAGTTAGTATCTGATTTTCAAATTCAGATTCAGATTCATTCTATTTCACGTTTCCTTCAATTCTGTCAGCGATAAATCATCTGACCTTAGTGGGATCCACTATATGTTAATTTGGCCCACCGTCGACTAATATCAAGTAATCAAGAATTGATAGTAAATTGAATAAAAAGTATACTGGCGAATATCAAATTCCCTAATTATGCTATTTTAAAAAGCAGTGGAATAAAAATGTATTTAATTTTTTCATGAGATTTATTGTATCGTTTATAATTTTTATTTTATTTATTGAAAAAGACAGTATTTGAATAACATTTAAACAAATATTTAATTTTCCCTATTGGACTTATTATCCCATCTATGTCGGATATCAAATAGCTTAGGTTTATTATTTAAAAAAGAAGAAATCTTGAAAGTTTAGACAATTATGAAACCTAATTATTATCAAGTTGACCTATCAAAATATATTTATAAATGTGACAGATACGTTACTTGATTTTTATAAAATAGTTCCAAAATCCAGATACATACAATAATATTGACAGATGAAATTACAGGTGATTTTATGTTAATATCATAAATATAGTTGTAGTTACTTAAGCACTCTAGTATGATTTGTCTATATCATCAAATCTTATTTTATTAAAATTCAAAATAAAACTAATTTTTAGATTTGGAGAAATCTTAAGAAAGATCCACCAATTGTTTTAGAACTTGAAGGGGAGCGTAACCCGGATTTTATTTGATGAAGTCGAAACAATAATTTACACATATGCATGGAAAAAATAATTTTTTTTTCCTTATTTAGGGACAAATGAAAGGAAAAAACACGGGACAACTTGGGCGTAAATATTGAATTAATATGTACATTGTAATTCAATCTTATTGTACATAATATGTCTTCTTTTTTTTTTTGCAGAAAATAAGAGATGAATTGATATAGACTAAACCAAAGATATATTATTTTCATTATTACAATTTTACTATTAATGAGGACATTTTAAGTCATACATTGCATCTAGACCAATCGGAGGCGGCCCAAAAGGTTGTTCTGGATTTGGCGGCTCAGTTGTTGGGTTATTTTTAGTATACCTTGGATGCTAGGTTAAAGGGAGATAACTATGGTAAGATCACATAAAAAAAAATATGTGAAATGTATATATATTACGTTTAGTAAGTAGAAAATGTTTAGAAAATCTCATTTTGATTGTATTCCGATTGGATTTGAAATGTCTTTAACCCACTTACATGGGTGAAATGAAACTCGAGGGAAGTAGAGATATTTTTTTGCTTCATAGGATATACAATTTATGGATATGTTCACCCCTAGGTCAGGATATCTCCTCGGTTAATTTTTTAAATATTTTATGTTGTTAATTTGAATGATTGACGAGGTGTATTTTTTATGATTACAATATATTTAAAAATATTTATTTTATATTTGAATTAGTTGTTAAAAAAATAGATGTAAAAATGTATTTTTTTTTTTATTTGAAATGAGTTAGAGGCTAATTTATAAAACAAACATAGTGGTGGATTAGATAGGATATGGGTATAATCAATGAAAGTAAATTATATTATTTTTATCCATGAGTCTCACAAAAATGTATAATCTATCAATCCAGGAGAAAAAATTGAATATACCAATTTATATCACATCTAGATGATAGTTGAGTGGATTTGTATTGGATAAGAAATGATATCTTTTTAAATATCTAATCCAATTCAACCCTGTCATTCAAACGTACCATTAAACCTATCTTGAAGGTGGGTTTAATTTTTTTTTTTTGGTTACATTGGAAAGATAATTGAATAAACTTCTAGAGAAAAAAAAAAGTACTAGCTACTATGAAGCACGGATACTTCGTCAAGGTCGACCTACCCGTATCGGATATTGTATCGAATACGATATTCGTCGGATACTCGATAATAAGTATCGTATATGCATCATCTGTATCCAATAATTAATAAATATGTAGATATTTCACAAATTTTAAACATGAAGTAAGATATACAATTTTCAATTTTAAGTTATACCCCCTTCTTTGGAATTCACATACAATATAAAACATCAACAAAATTTCATCTGATTTTGAAGACACAAGTATTTTTTTAATTATTATATATTATTATATGTTAAGAGAGTATAAAAAAATGAGTCATTTACACTATAATTTTAAAAATAAATACTTGTAAACACACTAACTAGTTAAATGTGGTTATGATTCCTTCAATTGATCATGCTTATTTTATGAATATATCATAATAAGACGATATTACATCATTTTCAAGATAAAAATTCCTAATTTTGTTTATTAATGTTAAAGAATGATTGAAAATTGTAATTTTTAAGTAGTTAAATAATAGTAAAATATAAAATATATTTTATTATAGATGTATTATGGTCATACCCGTATCTTATTTTTTTTAAGTTTTATCGTATTGTCGTAACCGTATCGTATTATACTCGTGTCACATATTTGTATCCGTGCTTCCTCGACTAGCTAAGTCTGCAATCACGAAGCTCCGCAATAGTGGTGGTGGTGGGGTTCTTTCTCAACCATGGCCTCCCACTGTTGGACTCTAACATTGACTAATAAATCTATACACTAATTTTCTTTTCTTATGTTCCGTTTGGTATGATAAAAAAGTAAAAGGATAAAAAATTGGAAGGATGAAAAGTTATAGGGATAAAAAAAATATTATGTTTAGTAAGGACGAAAATGTTGATGAATTAACTTTCTTTTTAATTCACAAAAATCAATTCCTCCAAAATCGGAAGGAAGGTGGATGAAAAGTTAATTATTTGTGTTGAGATGTATCTTATTATGTATTTATATAAAAATTTTAACTAGAGGTAAAAATTTTCGACTCAACACGATGACACGACTAGAACTCGACACAAATTTTATAACACCAACTTAATTATAACTCGACACGACATGACTCGATTGTCACCCTTAATATTAGATAAAAAAATAATAAAAAAATATTAAAAAAAAATTTGGCCATTTTTATTTTTCATCCATCCAACCAAACACTCAAAAAAAAAAAGTGTATCATTTCCACTTTTTATCTTTGAAGGATAAAAAATACATCCCTCTTATTTTCCACCCTTCTTACAAAACGAAGCATTAGTATATGCATTATGCGGATTTTGCTCACTTCCATCAACAATTTACTCTTTGCTATGAGGGCTTTGCTGTGACGAAGGGCGGAGCCAGAAACACGCTTGGAGACAGAATTTTTAGCAACAAGAATTGTACATGTATTTAATTTGGAAAGTTAAAGTATTACTACCGTTGAATTAATAAATAAAATGCATTTAATGTTGAGATTCTGTGCTAACTTAACGATGAGAGTATATTAGATTATCAAATGAGTAATGTTATTGGGACATAATTAATTTATTAATATAATTAACTATAGTTATTAGATTGACCGTAAGTCTTATTAAACACTAAAACTTAGTATTAATCCAAATGTTACAAACTTACAATGAAGTTATATCATTAGATCGACAAATTAGTTTAAATTTTTAACTCTCAATAGCATTACTCTTATCAAATTAGGCCTTTCAAATATGTGTCAGTAACATTTATTTGACAAAAGTAAAATTTTAAATTTTAAAGTAATAATACATTAAAAGAGGTGGCTCAGCTTGTCACTTCTGCATCTACAAAATTTGGAATTAGATGGGCGTAGTTTTTATCCCGCATGTGAGCGTATTTTTTTGCAACTTGAATGCTTGACATTTAGGTTATGATAGAGCAACTTCATCTTTATTTTTTTTACTATAAAATTATTGTATAATTATATTACCATTCGATGTATCAAAATTAACAAAGAGGATAAGATATAGAGAGGGAACGAAATGATTCAACATTTGCTTTAGCATATATTTAGAGATTCAACCAAAAAAATAATGATTAAGTTCACTTAATTGAGCAAAAAATTTAATCTTAATGTTTTAAATTATTAAGTAAATTAAAAAATATGATTTTTTTTTTTGTGGAGGCAAATTTAGAATATATTAAAATTTATTCACAAAAATTGTTTGGACAAAAAAAAAAAAGTGCAAGGGATGAGTGGCTTTGCCCATGATTGGGATGAGTTTATTGTAAATTGATTACAATGAGCTCGGAGATTTGAAGAGAATCTGTTTCAACCGCTATTGATACGAAACCTCTTATTTAGACGAGGTTTAATTCTTTGGAAATTGATCAGAGCTCAGCTGATACTCATAGCATCATTCAATTTTCCATAAAATCCAAGCATTCAAAGCTTTTGTTCATCTCCGATAACTCCTCCCACTTCAGTTGGTCCAAGATTACCTTTCGAACACCCATCGGTGTTAAGTGTTTTTTAAACCTACAGGTGGAAACTCCAAGAAAATAGTGTAGGTTCTATAGGTGTATTAGGTAGTTGTGAGCCTTGGAAAGCTTTTCACTGATTCTAGTGCTAGAATCCAGGCTTCCCTAGCTGCCTGTTGGGGTTTCACACTAAAAATTAGATGTGGACCANTTGTGAGCCTTGGAAAGCTTTTCACTGATTCTAGTGCTAGAATCCAGGCTTCCCTAGCTGCCTGTTGGGGTTTTACACTAAAAGTTAGATGTGGACCAAACGTTGGCACGGATGAGATTGTACGAGAAAATGATTGATATGCCCTTGTTTGAGCTAGGATTGAGTTTCTTTTAATTTTACAGTTACAAATTTGAAATTTTAATTTATAAAAAATAATAACAATTAAGATTAATTTAATATTTATCTATTTTTAATTTAATGATATAAAATTTATCTCAAATTTTCTATTTTATTCCTAATTATTATAATAAAGTCAATTACACCTACTTATATAATTTCATTTAATTTGTATTTTTTATTCTTGTTTGAATTTTAACTTATTTTGAACTATTTTATAAAAGCTTCTAGATTCTTTTGAATTCATTTATTAGTAGTATACTTATATACAATCTTCTATATCTATATGAATAAGTAAAGTCATGTACATATTAAATTATTATATACATGTAATTATCAGATTAAATTTTATAGTCAAATATATGTTATATTTTATTTTTTAGTATATAATAATATTATAAATGATCTAATCAATTTATTTAACAAAATAAAAATTAATAATCTTATAATATAATTAGCTATGCAAATTCCTAAAACAAAAGACATATTAAGTACTCAAAAAAAAAAAGTACTCAAAGACTTATATAATAAAATAATAATTAAATTTAATAATAATTAAAATACAAATTAATTATTCGACATCAAATGTATAAATATCAATATATATAAAACTTTTTAATAGACTATGTTACCTTAAAAAATAAGCATTGATTAGAATATTAATAATTATTGTTATTTTATTTTAATGAATTATAAGTTGAAACCTAATCAAATAAATTTTAAAATAAATTATTTTTTTTTCTTATAGTTAGAACAATAAATCGTTGGGAGTAGACAAAATTTTTGAATTTTATAGTATAATATAAGAGATAAAAACATTTTTTTTATAAAATTAAGATGATATTTAATTTAAGAACAGATATCTAAATTTTTTTATTAATATTTTATATATAAAATTTATTTATGTATAGTAAATATTACACATGCTCAATTTTCTTCAACCGCGAATTATTACTAGTAGTATCCATATTTTAGAAGCATTGCCATGAAAATCATTTTGTTTTGTGGCCTAAAGAGTTGCGTAACTTTACTGATTGAGCCGCCCCTCCTCCCTCCCACCAAATCCAACTGTCTCTCTCTCTCTCACCCCTCCCTCCACCCACACATATAATAATTCCACATATAACTGCGATCTGTTTGTGGGTGTGGGCGCTTGTGTCTGTGACCGTGAGAGGGAGAGAAGACTGAGAAGAAGACGAGTGTTTGGGACAGGTTTGTATTGGGTCGATTCGAGAATAAGAGTGTTCCGATCCTGGATATGTTTAGGAATAAGAGTTAGGTTTTTAGTAATTAACCCCAATTTCAGCATTGACAACCACCATTACCAACAAACAAACCAATAAAAAAACCCACCAACCTCTACCAAAAGGGGAACCCACAAAGACCAACAACCACGCTTGACTCTTCCCCACCAACCCCCAAACTCTCTGTCTTTCTCTCACGTTAAATTGTGTTGCTTTTTGTTGGAATCACATTCGAACCCACCTTGCACCAAAATATACCAAACACTCCAAATGGCAAATTCAACTCTACCGATATCATCAAGAGTTTCTTCGAGGCCGACCCATCTTGGCTTTAGGGACCCATGTATTGGATTTCATCCAGAATCTCAGAGTTTCAGATCAGTTTCTCTCTCCTCTCAACTTCACAATCTCTCTCTCAAGTAAGCTTTTTCTGGGTTTTTCCCCCTTTTCTATTCTATTCTCTACATTTTTTTCTTAAGCATATCTCTAGCTTTGCCTCCACTGATATTGCTTTAAAAAAAGTCTGCTTTTTAGTCTCTCTGATGTGGTCTAAAATAAGGGTATATCTGGATTCTTCAGCGGTTGTGGGAAGGACAATTTTAGTGGAAACGAAAAATATATATTCTATAAGAGATAACTATATAGTTGATCCCTAAAGTATATCATTTGTGGCTATTAAGTCTCTGAACTATGTTTTGTATCAATTTAACACTTGAACTATACAATTTGACTCTAAATAGTTGTTCCATATAACTTCGCTGTTAACTTTGATGGACATCCTTCTGTGCACAACGCATGGCTCCTTATCCCTGATTTTCGTTATGTGTATGTGAAAATTTTTGTCACAGTTAAAAGTTAGTTTGGACTGAAAGGCCACACTTGGGTCAGATTGCACTTGGACTAAATTGACACAAAACATAGTTCAAGTGCTTGATCGACACAAATAGTATAGATCAGGAGCCAAATAGGTAATTCTCCGATTCTATAATGTTGGGTGGAATTATGGGTGCTTAAGTTGCATGATTTTTAATTGTTCAATGCCACTCAAATAAATCTTGTGACAATGCAACTCAAGTACAGACATTGTGTTTAATGAATTTTTAACTATGAAATATGACAAATAAATGCAAATGTAACATCTTACTCTTATTGATTGAGGTAAAAAAATAAACTTGTTAAATTTCCCAGCCAATAATAATTTTTTGGCTTTGCCCTGATTATAAGGTAATAATAATTAGTGTTTGAGGAGCAAGGAAGTGAGTAAATTTATTTAGTACTATATTGCGAAGACTACAATGATTGTCTCTTAAATCCTAACATTTTCACGAACACAGTTGTACCATAGTTAGAGCATTTCTATTATGTGCTTTCTTTCTTTCCAATAATAATTTTGTAAAGTTAAAAGACTAGCCAATTTCTTAAGTTCTGTATGAAACTAATCTGAGTCTATAACTGAGAATTAGTCATTGATCCAGAGAATGCTATGGTACATATTACGTCTTATTTTCAAATTTCATTTCACTCACTTCCCTTTTAGATAGGTTGGAATGCTCGTGCTCCCTGAAGAATTTTATATGCCATTACACTGTGCAGGGTGTTAGGTGAGGGTAGACCAGCTAAGCACCTAACCTTTTTGACCGTTGCCAAAAGTGGCTGTTTTTAAACTCTAACCCATGGTCTCATGTTTGACAGCCCAAGCACTTCCCCCCCCCAGGAAACAGTAATTTTTATTACTAACGTAAAGTAGGTAAAGCTACAAACCCTATCAAAGGTGGACAAGTCGTCCAATCCAATGATAGGAGATAACAAACAGAAAGACCAAGCACATCACCGTTGAACGAAGCAATGGACCATTTTAAAGAGTTTCTACTAGCTTAAATAGGAATACTGATTTTCAAGGTTATTATTTTTGGGCTTAATCAGCTCATCAATTGTTCTATTTTATCAAATAATATCGTTTTGAAAGTGCTGCTACTACATACTAGTATCATCTGATTCTGTTTGTATGTCTGAATAGATCTTCGGAGGCTACTAGACAGCTGCAGTCATATAAAATAAGTGCAGTTGTCAGAGGAGAAAGCAGCTTTGAAGGGATGGAGATTGACATCTCACTGAGTCCCAGAGTAAATTCAGTGAAACCTTCAAAGACAGTGGCTATAACTGATCAGGCGACTGCTCTTGTACAAGCTGGTGTGCCTGTTATTCGATTGGCTGCTGGGGAACCTGATTTTGATACCCCAGCTGTAATTGCCGAGGTACGTTTGTTGACTATTTGAGATACATTTGTATCTATCCAAAAATCAACATTTCTTCTAGTTCTTGGTCGACCATACCATTGTATGTATACCTGTTCCCCCATTTTATATGTAAGTGTTATTTATTCTTCTGTTCATCATCTTATTTGAAATTTTAGGCTGGGATAAACGCAATTCGTGAAGGTTACACAAGGTATACTCCAAATGCGGGTACTTTGGAACTCCGCTCCGCAATTTGTCATAAGTTGAAGGGTTAGTAGTTTGATATAAGTAGAATGCTTCTCTCCAAGATGGAGATCAAGAAGGATATTCTGAGATTCATGTCAATCGTCTATTTTTTGAATGGCAGAGGAGAACGGTATCTCTTACACGCCTGATCAGATTTTGGTTAGTAATGGAGCAAAGCAGAGTATCCTTCAAGCCTTGCTTGCAGTTTGTTCTCCAGGAGATGAGGTAAGAAGTGTTTATTTACAAGTTAGATTATTGAATTTTATGAATGTCCTCTTTGATCATCATTAAAGTTGCATTTCACGAAATTATTGGTCCAATGCATTGGTTCAGACAGATTGCTGTTCTGTGTGTACCCTTTTGCTCTTGATTCATTGCCTACCATGAGAATAATGGGAGGAGTGAATGGATTTTCAGGTAATCATCAACTTTATTGATTTACGTGGAACCAGTGAAAATGTTACAACATTTGGCTTGATCCACATGTGTTATCATTTACTATCACTGGGAGCAGAAGTAATCCTTTGTTTGTTGTGAAGATTCAATGTGCTTGTCAAATTAAGTTGTTGGCAGCATAAACAGCTTAATATTCATCTACATCTCCTTTGACTTCTTTTTCTTTTTGTAAACATGCGTCAAGTAAGACTGTTGGTATCATACTGTGAGTATCATTTCAAGCAATCTACATTTTTAGGAGAAATGACCATACCTATTCTTCTCCATGTTACAATTTTGGTAAATCAGTAACTTTAGTTGGTTGGTTAGATTTTTTAACACTGGTGAAATAACTTTCAGATACAGAAAGGATACTCGTGCAGTAAAAAGTCCAAAGGCTCTCACTTGTTGAGCTGAGATTTTATGGCATGCATGTACTTCATACAGTTCATGGTGATATCTCTTTCATGCAACAATTATAATCTGGATAATGCTCTGCCATATGCATTCACCTCCTTCCTCTCATCTGGCCTCTTCCCCATCAAAAAAAAAAGAAAGAATATAAAGGGCAAAAAGAGCATGCATTCTTACATACTAAGTAGTTTTTGCTTTGTAAGATTTGAATTTATGAATGTTTTNATATGCATTCACCTCCTTCCTCTCATCTGGCCTCTTCCCCATCAAAAAAAAAAGAAGAATATAAAGGGCAAAAAGAGCATGCATTCTTACATACTAAGTAGTTTTTGCTTTGTAAGATTTGAATTTATGAATGTTTTTTCTTGGGTGAAGAATAAAGTCATGTTTACATAATCAAAGGCTGCTGATTGCTGACTAGCAAAATTTTTAAGTACATCTACCTGCGAAGTTGGTTGATAATGACGGTGTTGCATCTTTTGCAGGTTCTAATTCCAGCTCCGTTTTGGGTGAGTTATCCAGAAATGGCGAGACTGGCTGATGCTACACCTGTGATTATTCCATCTCTCATCTCCGAGAATTTTCTCTTAGATCCAAAGCTTCTTGAATCTAAACTTAGTGAGAAGTCAAGACTGCTGATTCTTTGTTCACCATCCAACCCAACAGGGTCTGTCTACCCCAGGAAATTGCTTGAAGAGATTGCTGAGGTTGTAGCAAGACATCCAAGGCTTCTGGTGGGCTCACTATATTGTAACTCTTGGCACCTACACCTGTGCATTCTCAACTTGGCTGACATTTGAATTTACAATCTTTGGTGGTTCTATTCAGGTGCTTTCTGATGAAATATATGAACACATTATTTATGCACCAGCAACTCACACCAGCTTTGCATCTTTACCTGGCATGTGTAATAGGACTCTGACTGTCAATGGATTTTCGAAGGTAGTTCCATTTCCTTGCAATAAAGGATTGGTCATAGGGAATTAAGTTTGTATTCTCTGCTCCTCCATCCTTGAGTGCTCCCTCTATGCATAATATTGGTATGTTTATGAATAGTGCTACTCAAGAGGTGTGCCTCATTGAATATTGACTTTCATAGGCCTTTGCAATGACTGGTTGGAGACTTGGATATCTTGCCGGTCCTAAACACTTCGTTGCTGCATGTGGGAAGATTCAAAGCCAGGTATGTCATAGCTGTACTAATCTACACCCTCATGTTTTGAAAAGTTCTCTTTTTTTTATCACCTTATACGTTGAGTACCGCTATGGGATTAGTCACTAGTGTTTGTCTTCCATCAAAGATGGTCTGATGTAAGTCGATTATTAATTTATGGGAGTGCGGTCCATTGGATTGTTAAAACACGCCAATGTGTCTTGAAAACGTTCTGTAGACTGGAGAGTTAGGAGTTAGGACTGCCTGATTACTGTTGCTCTTTGGCAAGGTGGAACAGAAAGCATTGCAGTTTTTGAATGTTGTTTTGGAGACAACCTTGCATTTGTTCACACTAGTCGCGTAGTCTCATTTTACCTGAACTTGAAGTATTTTATCGAGTTTATACTTTGTAAACTTTGATTTTGGTTGCTAACTTAGATTTCTGAAAGAGAGTTTGAGTAGGGACCGACCTCACATACCTGACCTTTTATAGTGCTCCAAAATCATCATATGTTCTGAAGATCAATCCTTTCTGATATATGTAAAATAGTCTTAAAAGTTCAGAGGTGCTTTTGTTTTGGTTTCATGAGAAAGGAAGAGGGGAG